ATAATAAAACCAAGCATAATTTAAGATCTTTGTAGACCTTTTTCTATTAGTAATGTTTGATTTAAGCTCTTTTGATATTTTTACACAATTATTATTCACTGACAATGAAAAAGATAATGGCTATCATATAGATAGCCATTATTAATAGCCAGATATTATTATTGCTAATTAAATATAACTGATGCTCCGGAAATTTTGTATGAAAATAAAAATTATAATTTTTCTTTTAAATTGCTTTTTATTTATTAACTGTTCATCGTTTCCTCTCTCCAGATCAACCTCCACAAAATGCTACTAGCATAATAAGAGACAATTAACACGTAGGCTGGAATCTTTTTAAATACTTTCTAACTCTTAATCCTCCTTAGTTAGGTAATTTTTATGCGCACCGGATATCGACAGAGATATAACGGTTTCTCAAGAATTTAAAAATCAAGCAATTGACACTTTAATCCCCAACATGAAAATAAACCATTCCAGATTATCGTTTTCACCGCACATTATAATCAAAATCAATTATGATCACGAAAGAAACTCTTACGTCAATATTAACAATCTAATTATATCCCCTTTATAAACGAAAAAATAGTGAAGCTGGAAGTGAACACCATAAAAGCGATTCGATGGCCGGAGGTCACCTCTAGATTGGACTACCCAGGCAGTGGTGCGTTTTGGAGAAAATTCAAAATTCCAATGAAACAAAACACATACAACCCTTCTTACCTATTGGTGAACAAACAGATCCATTAACTAGATTATCAGAGGACCCACATCTTGAAAACACACATTCAAACTTATTTTTTCTTCTTCTTTTGGAATTAACCTTGGAAAATCATACAAGGGATAGCTGGTTTAGTAAAATTTGAGCATTCTTTGGTAATCCGACATTTCAAAGGCTTCTTTTTTATTCATAGTATCAGTTTTAATCGCTCGTGTCTTACATCCATAAAAATAATACTCCTTATGTAACCTTTTTATCGCATGTATTTTTAATACTTAACTTACTTCCCAAATATCTTAATCATAATACCATTCCAATGTTACAACTGTTAATTATTATCGGGATTGGTTGTATATTTATTTTACCTAAAGTCATCCATTTTTTTTGGTGTTAATATTTTATCATCTTTTGTTAAATCTTTAAAAAGAAGAAGGAAAATCTGCATAGAGATACCTATGACTTACGCAGGTAATGTTTAGTTCCTAATACCCTAGATGCCCAATGGAGTTAGACCTTTAACACAGTCCCGTCACCACTTCGAGACGGTCGGAGTCCAACTAAAAACCTCTCCTCTGTCACAACTAACATCAGGATGGAAGAAGCAAAAGATCTCTCCTGATGCCCTGCTATAACCCGATTCTCATTCCTTCTCCACCCACATGAACCACTAAAGACTTTCAACCCCCTGTCTTAGCGAGGCTGCCATATCTCTTTTGAAGAGAGCAGCCCCCTGATAAATTTGTGGATCCGTTTCCACCACCACTCAAACTTCTGCCTTTCATCCGCCCAACGCTCACACTCCAACATCATAAGTGTCACAGTATCCGAGAGACTACAGTAAAGGCACTGATCGGACTGAGCCCTCCTAAACCTGAAAAAATAGCTGCTGAAGCAGAATAAGTGACTTCGTGCACTACGCCACATCACGTGTTGCCCCCCACTGTTGCTGGCACTGACCGATTGAAACTAATCTCTCTCTCGTCTTATCTCATCCATCTCTCGCTCTTCAACATTGCACAGTATTGTAAGCACATGCTACCCGCAGCAGACTAGTTCTGTCCACGTGCACCATGCGCCTCTTGTAAGTTGGTATTTCCACCGCCGGTCACCCCCCTCAAATATTCCCTCAACTCCCACCGTGGTGGAGAGTAACTCCCAGATACTTGAGTACTTTTTGGACATCAGTCTAGTTCCCACGCACTCAAATTCAACCCTATCTCTCTTTCTGTAGCCTCTGAGTACTACAGCCTCCGCCTTATCCTCCAAGAGAGAAAGATCATGCTCGCTCATTCAATCCTTAACGGGAGCATGAGTTCCTTCCTGTTCAGTCCCGCCAAAAGTATTAATGCCCCATCTGCGACACTCCTCGTGCACTATATCCAACAGTTTTTGGAAGACCTTTATGGTTTCTGCTATGATGGCAGTGCCGTGGGCGAATCTTATGGTACTTATGATCTTACCTTCTGAGTATTTGATTAAAGAGACAAGGAATCAATCATTTAATATACACCTACAGTCCATCTAATTTACTTACCGTTGCACGTCATTATCATTGACAGAGATCAAAGTATAAAAAAATCCTGAATCCATTTTAAATCAAATAGGTCACATAATTATTGCAAAAGTGGATTATACAACAAAACAAATTAATATATTAATATTTATATACATTTTTGAAATAAAACACACTAATTTTGTTCTAAAAAGAAGAGATTTTATTACATAGGTAAAAATATAAAACAAGAGGTATTCACTTTAAAATTCAAAATAATAAAGTACAAAAAGTGTCAATATCACCTTCGTTAGATTACAATTAAAGTGTCTTCCGAACAAATGTTTTTCATAAAAACACTTTATAACGCATTTAAACAAATTAAATGAAGCATATTATTGTGTATTTCTTTAAGTTGATATTAATAGAAATCTTTAAATATTATTTCTACGTGTATATAATAAATTATGTCTAGTGGCTGTAATGTCAGAGTACTCGGTAAAGTGATTCTAAAAAAGAACACACCTACCGCCTAAATAATTCGTGTTGGTATCATGTGTCCTCACGGGCTAAGACGCGGATGACGTGCAACTGTATGTAAATTAGATGAAGTATATATCTTTTAGAATGCCAAAGCAACGCGGTATCAATAACCCATATATACAAATAGGCAAAATATATGTAATATTACATTTCAGCTTTTTAGTTTACAGGAATCTCTCCATTCTTTAATATGTATTTTAATTTTTTTAAAACTTCCATAATAGCTGAAAGTGTCTAGTACTTTCTGCATTTTGGTTCTCTTTGCTGAGCTTTTTGGTATAATTAAAAGAAACATAGATATGTTAATATGTATGTTTTGATATAATGTAGTAAATTTTTAACTATATATTTACAGCCACTAATGGCTGCAAGAAGTCTTTACAATGGTGAAGAAATACGCCAAAACAAAGACTGGCTAAACACTCCATTAAGAAAAATTCAGCCAGATTACCAGTTGACTCACTAACTCACAATCAGAGGATTTTCACGAAGATAGTGGGGCTACTGACTGACAATACACATTTGAGTCGTATTCGCTTGAAGGAAGAGGATATTTGTCGGTTCTGTCTAGAACAAGAAGAAATTGTTCTGAACATATTGTGTTAATGTGATGGTTTCGCCAGGATACGGTATCTAAAACTCGGTGAGGCAAAAAAAGAAGCATCAGTCTATATAAAAGACCCCTCTGAAGGATTTGAACTTTCATCAAGAAGATAGAGCTAGATGATAAGCTATAAGTGACAAAAACATGTAGAATATATGTGTGTCAGGGTAAGGGCAGCCCTAGTTTGATATCTCTGTGGTTATTTAATGGTTAATAAATTTAACAAAACAAAAAACCCCATTATACTGTAAAGAATATTATAATTCTTTACATTACGAGAGGATTAACTACAATTGTTCAACTACGTTATGCAGTGTATAGTTATTAGGCTATTTTGTTAAATCTGACATTAAGATAATAATTTATTTATTATTAAAATCATGAATGTGTTGCTTGTGTGAGTCCATTTCAAATAGATAAAGAAATAATAAATAAGACTTACTTACAATCAATTTAATTTAACTATTCAGACGACCGGTTTCGCTTTCTACAATATGCAAAGCATCTTCAGGTCTCGATACAAAGTTAAATAAATGCTGAAATAATAAAAACCCATATTAGGGTGTTGTCTAATAAAGATAAACAAATTAGATGTTATAAATTACAATAATTATGCCAATATTACATGTCTGTGGTTTTTCAAAATGAATAAAAATGAATAAAAAGGTATAAAAAGTTTAAACAGACAAGGTAAGACCCACAAATTGTTATAAAATAGTCTATTAAATTGTAATAATTCAATAAACATGGTTGAAACTATCATGTATTGCTGAATGGAGAACTTAAGGCTGCTATTGTAGTTATTTGACAGTAAACGGGAAGTCCTTGAGGAGATACATTTGATCCAATGAAGCAGAGATAGGTGTTATGTGATTGTTTGTTAGATGAAAGTGATATTATATACCATTTAAAAGTTATTTATACTTATTCAAGAATAAGTATAAATAAGTTTTAAAATGGTATGAAATAAAACGGTATTCTTGAATAAGTATAAATAACTTTTAAAATGATATATAACATCACTTTCATCTAACAAACAATCACATTACACCTATCTCTACCTTATTGGTTCAAATCTATCTCCTCAAGAACTTCCCGTTTACTGTCAAACAACTACAATAGCAGACTTAAGTTCTCCATTCAACAATACATGATAGTTTCAACCATGTTCTACCATCCATCAATTAATAAAGTACAGGCATGTAAGTAATGTTTATTTATTTGCACATTTATTAATTTATTACAGTCTAATAGACTATTTTATAACAATTTGTGGGCCTTAGCTTGTCTGTTTAAACTTTTAAAACTTTTATACCTCTTTATACAACTTACTCTTTTTGAAAATAAAACCACAGACATGTAATATTGGCATAATTATTGTAATTTATAACATCTAATTTGTTTATATTTATTAGACAACACCCTAATATGGGTGTTGTCTTTATTATTTCAGCATTTATTTAACTTTATATCGAGACCTGAAGATGCTTTGCATATTGTAGAAAGCGAAAACGGTCGTCTGAATAGTTAAATTAAATTGATTGTGAGTAAGTCTTATTTATTATTTCTTTACCTATTTATTATTACTTTATTTTAATAAAATACCTTATTTTAAATTATTTGTATCCTTTCTGTTACAGATCAGAATCCCCAGAGCTTATGGCAAGATTAGCACCCTGTCAATATAACAATCTTTCAGAAGTCACAGATAGTCTAATTTTAACCTCAGCAAGTTCGTTAAATTCGCAAATTTTGGAAATGTTTAATATATCTTGTATAATATCTTGTGCCCCAGAGCTACCAGATCCACCTCATCGAGAGGACGCTATTTACCATAAAATTGATATTATGGACTCCGGGTATTCAAGAATATTACCATATTTTGATAAGTCTGCAGATCTTATCCACCAGGTATGTTTTAAGAATTATTTTACAATTACTTGTATCAATAACTGAATCGGTGTCAACAAAAACGTTTCATGAAGTCATGAAAATCATTTTTTCGGGAAACTGAAAAAAACTGTATAGATCTGTATTAGTCAACTTAATTCATACCAAAAAAATTGATAATGTTTTTGACACTTTTAGATGTAATGTTTCATATTTCTCAGTTCAAAATAATAGGTGTACATATATGATATATATGTTCAAATGTGGTCGACTTAAAACTTTTTTGTTTACATTCTTAAGATGACACAAAAGAACCTTCATTTTGTTTAAAAAAATGTATATTTAACCCTAAAAATAAAATTTTTAAGTAAAAGTTTTAAATACAAACATTCAGTCGTTTTTTGAATGCTTCAAAATGTCATGTTTCCTCCTACTGGATGTCATGTTCATCTTCCCCAGTATTGGGACTATCAGTTGTTGGCCACTCCATTAATTTGTCATAAAACTGTCTGACACTATCAGGTATATAAGGTAACAACTTACCAATATCTTAGAGCTTCACTTTTTTAAGTGGTACTTTACCACATGGATAACAAAGTATTGTGGGAAATTCAATTGATTGATTGTTAACTTAAAAAAGTTTATAGGTTTGTTCCATGAACCCATCAATAAAAGACCAACAAACAATCACACCTTTACCTGTTCCATAGGTAAAGTGCGTAAAAGAACTTATGCCAAAAGATATCTTATCGTTAACAGGAATTTAACAGGACAGATCGGTTTTCTTGTTTCCTCAGAAATGCACTTCTTTTTATAGTAGGTTGACCAGGAATGTTGAAAATCTAGTATGATTTCTGTGCTTCTTTGACTGTGAACTTATCTATCGTATTACTCGAAGTAATAGTAAGTTCGGTTATCTCGTGTAAGTTGTATATCCTATCAAGTCTTTTTAGTTTTCTTTTGATGATTGAAAAATCCCTGTCACAAGAAAGGTAGAAGTGTCCTTTGATGGAATAATATTGCTCAATTCGATTGAATCGACCACTGTCGGTAAGGGATAAACACTGTTTAATGTATGGTTCTTATTTTGACCTCCACAATGTGGACTTTCGTAAACTGAGCAGGAGCAGTTTGAATAATTATATATTGCAGGAACAAACCTCATCCGGACTTTTTCTGACGGTCCCTTCGTGATATGGATAAACATTAGACTTATTGCTTTTAATGCCATGAATGCAAAACACATTCACCGTTAGTTTCCTTAAATAAAAGGTTTCCTGTACTGGAATCATGGGCAGCGGTATATTTTGCATATAATCGAAAGCTATTGCTAGCACATGTGATTCTTTTGCTTTTGTTTTTTGGTTAGTTTCTCTTTTTAATTTATTGTAGAATTTTTTTGATCTACGCTTGTAGAATCATCAATTCAGCAGAAACATTTTTTTCTGCTGCATCACTAAGATGAGGACTTCTCAATTTGAAATTTAGTTCTTCACAAATACAGCATGAATCAACCTGGAGGCGACCAAATCGTAAATTGAATTTGTCTTATTAATAGCCTGGTATGAACACTGATTACATTAGTGCCCAATTTTTTCCCACTAAGATCCTTCGGGGTTTTACCCATTAATAATAATGAACGAAGCCTTCTAATACGACTTATTTTAATTCCATAGAGCGACTTAAATACTTCTATACAAACTATTTCTCTGGTTTCACCCACAATTACCTCGTATGTAAAATAAACATTATGAGCAACCCTCGCAGAAGCACCTTCTTTTCTGGGTATATGTACATATTGTACATTGTTACAGGTAATCAATGATTGTAAAAAATATCCTGCTCGTTCTTAGTTTCCAATGTTCTCAAATGAAAGAATATCTCTTCAGCTTGATTCTACAAGCGGTCTGTACACTTCTGCTTACATCTGAAATCAATAAAATCTCAATAAAATAAACCTTAGTTTATTATATATACTTCAAAACGTATCTTACCTGCAATCAGGGCCAACAGTGATACCTGTTACAACTATACATTTGTAATAAGTGTACTCTTCACCTTTGACTCTAGCACATCTCTGCGATATTTCGTTTCCACTTAGCTTCATTTTTTACTTTTCTTTCGTCGCTGGTACTGCTTGGTTCGTTATCCATCGCAATTTTTAAAAGAATACAATAAAATGATGCTAAATACAACTTTAACCTGACAAAACCAATCATCAAACATGTGGTTATTTAATTTTATTAGAGGTTCACATAATATACAGGATTCATTAATACATTACAAACACATATGTTAATAATGTTGCCTACAAAAACATTCTGAGCCACTAACATAGAACCTTTTAGTCTCCAATGATATATTTCAGTTTTCTACTTAACATACATGGAGAGTAGAGACTTAGAATGTTTTTGTACCAAAAGATGCGCTTTTGTTTATAGAACAATTTTCCATGGAAATGTCAAAAATGAAAAAAAAACGACTTAGAATGTTTTTGTTTACACCAATTCAACTAACAAACATTACAGTCTTACTGTAAAGAAACAATGGACGTGTTTATAAAATTTAAAAGTGGATTAATCAAAATTTAATTATCAACTTTTCTTTGTCATTCATATTAATAGCTTTATGATAAAAGTATTAATAAAGGTCATTAATTAGTATCTTGATAACAATGATGTAACCATACTACTTGAATCAACAAATAATTTAAATACTGAAAACAATAATAACGTTCTCGAATTAAATATCTTAAATTGAAATTTATTTCCTGGGAATAAGAGCAATACGTGGAGGATAAACACCATGAAAAGTAAAGATAAACGTACATATAATTGTCATAATATCATCACAGATAAGAGGTATATTAAGAAGGAAATAACATAACTATAATCGTTGGCGATGACGAGGATAGCTCCATTCTTCTTCTTATTGATGTGCCTATACGTTACGAATGTTGGCGATCATCATGGCATTCTTTATCTTATCTACAGCAGCGCGGAAAAGCAGCACATATGTTGTATTAAACCAGATTCTGAGGTTCTTTAACCAAGATGTTCTTCTTCTTCATGGACCTCGTTTTCCAAATATTTTTCCTTGCAGGATGGCTTAAAGGAGAGCATATCTGGATTCATTTTGCATAATATGTCCGAAGAACTGTAACTTTCGAGATTTGATAATGGTCAGTACCTCTCGGTTCTTATTCATTCTTCTGAGAACCTCCTCATTTGCGACTCGGACATCCGGGATCTTTAGCATTCTTCGATATAGCCACATCTCAAATGCTTCCAGTTTTCTGCACATATCTTCGTTCAAGGTCCACGATTCAACACCATAGGAAAGGACAGAGAATACGTTACATCACAGCATGCTTACTTTTGTATCAAAAGAGAGGTTGTAACTCTTGAAAAAGGCGATCCGTTTGAAGGTGGATCTAGCTTTTCCGATGCGTGCTCTAATCTCCTGGTTGTTGGTCTATTCTTCATTTATTATGGTACCGAGGTAGTTGTAGTGCGTCACTCTTTCTACAGGGGATTGGTTGACGTAGAGTTGACCTTCTGTTATCCTTTTCTTACCAATTATCATAAGCTTTGTCTTCTTAACGTTTACATTGAGTCCATATTGTTGACTGTAATACGTGATTTTGTTCACAAGAACTTGTAGGGCTTCTAAGTTGTCCGCAAATACTATGGTGTCACTCTACATCCGACGTTGTTTAGCCGATAACCATTTAGTAGAATACCTTTTTCGTGCAAAGCTTCGATAAATATTTTTTCAGAGTACAGATTAAAGATTAGAGGAGACAAAATACAGCCTTGCCTCACTCCATGCATGATTTTCACATAGTCAGTGTGTTCACCTTCAACTCTGAGATTTGCTGTCTGATTCCAGTAAAGATTATTAATTATTTTCAGATCCTGGTTGTTAATTCCTGTTTCTTTTAGTATTTGCATCATGTTGGCGTGATGTACTCGATCAAACGCTTTCTCGTAATCAACCAGACATGCGTATACGTCGCAGTTGACTCCCTCTGCAACTCTGGAATAAGATTTGTACTGAGAACAAAGCCTCTCTAGTACCAACAGCATTTTTGAATCCAAACTGGTTGGGGAAGTTTGACTTTCACAGAGCTTGTAGATTCTCTTATGAATTATCTTTAAGAACAATTTTAGGAGATGACTCATGAGGCTTATAGTACGCTAATTTTCGCATTTTTTGGCTCCTGGTTCTTTGGAAGTGCAATACACTCAGATTTTAGCCATTCTGTTGTATTCTTTCTCCAGAGTTGTATATGTTGTTGAATATCTTTGCTATTATTGCTATTGATGCGTTGTGCATTAGTTTAAATAGTTCTGCTTGTATATTATCAGGCCTGCCGCTTTGCTATCCTTTAATTGTGTTTTCGGAGTAAACTTCCTGCTGTAATATTCTTGATCCATCATTTACCTCTTCTTCTAGCTCAAAGGTGTTCTCTCTTTGGTATACAAATAGTTTTTCTAAATATTCTTTCCACGTTCTTATTTTACTCTGTTTGTCAAGATGATGTTTCCGTCAGAATCAGTTATATTTACTTTCTGCCTTCGTCTTCGTCTTCAGTCCCCCTGTGATCCCTGTAAATCCATGTAAATGGTAAGTTGTTTTAGTCCTTCATTTGAAAATGGTGCTGTCGCTTGATCGGTGGGTTAGAAAAGTAGCCGTAGTTACTGGTGCCAGTGCTGGAATAGGAGCAGCAACATGTGAACTCTTGGTTAAAGAGGGGATTAATGTGGTTGGCTTGGCTCGACGAAAAAATCTCCTAGTGTTTATTGTATTTTGACTACAGAGCCTTAATTTCTTCGCATATTTCCCTTGCTTCTTTTTCTTTCGCTTCTCTAATTTTCGTTCTTATTAATATATGTATGGTTTTATATTTGTCTTGGTCATTTTTGGCTTCTCTTCTCTCATCCATTAGTTTCAGAATCATCTGTCTTTAAGTGTTTATCCTTTACATTTTGCACTATTTCTATAATATGTTTGACAGT